TCTGGCATCATTCATCCTGAAAACAAATGCAGATTCATCGCTTCATGAACCTATTATAGATAATTTATAGGATAATCATGCATTCAGAAAATTCCAAACATTTTTCAATGTTGTGATAGAATCGGGCAAAAAATATTGTCATTTTGAAGGTGTGGATGCGGAAATATCGATGTTTCTTAAAGGCTCATCTGGTCATAATATTTTAGCTGCTATAAATATATTAGCCGAAGTAAATCAAAACTGTGAAAATAAAATTGCAGCCTAAGCTGACCACCATAAGTTATTCAATATTTGTGCAATTAGATTTTGTCTAACTTCAAAATGCATATCGCATTTTTAAAAAAATCAAAAAATTATTGAAAGCTGAAATTTAGTATATTGTAAAAAAATTACAAAATTCATGTATTGCATTTTTGTAGACTCAGAGAACGGCGTAATGTAAATTTTTTAATGTTAAAATTGATGATGTCGCGTACGGTAATAAAAGGACTAGCAATGATTAGCTAAATAAAATGAATGATAAAAAGTTGTTGCCATAATATACTCTTGGATAATATCGATAAGTTAGAAGGGAATTATAATGAAAGATAAAAATAAGATGACAAGCTCGTGATGTGAATATTTTGATGGGAGAAAATACTGTTTTTGTCATGTGCTCTTCTGGGTGATTAAGTAATGAGCGATACTGGTATCCTTTGGGATGAACATAAATGCACACAATGGTCACTGTGGTTGACATTGGTAAAAAATTTTTTAAGTAAGAAAAGAACTGGCAATGGAAAGATTTCAAAGAATAGTTAAAGAATCGCAGATGAAATTTCTGAATATTGCGTCTCATTGAAATGATTATTAAGACACCTTTGCCCACTTACTTTAAATAGCTCAATTAGATTTTGCAACTGTGTATGCTTTGTGATACACCAATTTCTTATGTTTGAAATGACTCGATGCATCTTGTGCGTAATATACTTCTTCACAGCAAAATAACTGATTGATTCTGGAATCTCGAAAATCAGCAGTTTTTTTTTTTTTTTCTAAAGAATGATCACTTCGTCACTAATATGTTATTTTGGGCGACATATAAAGGCTGATTAATCAGATGGATTTCAAGTTCCCACAACATCATGGTAGCTTCTCTGGTATATTGCAAATTGTTACTTTGTAGTATTTCCTAAAAATCTATTCATTATTTTACAAAGGGATCCATTCTCGAATGCTTACAGAAGTAATCGCAGTTATTATAACTTCAACTAAAAACGCTGTATCGTCATCGGTAATATTCTAAATTTTAAAACAATCAGTAAACAGTGAAACAATCCATCGAACAGGCACAATTTCAGATAAAATATGCATTAATGATTGCTATCGATATTGCTGTAAATATTACTCAAATGAGTTTGCTTTATTTTTTAAACCAATTTTTATGAAGTGTCAAAGTTCCTTATTCAAACTATGATGAATCAATGTTAAGGAGGAATTGGAGCAATCATTTGATGTATAAAAACTAAAAATAAAATATGATTTAGAAATCATCCTTTATAATTTGGCATTTTGTAAAACAATTGAATAATTTCACCTATAT